AATATTAAAAATCTATTATTTTGAATTTAAGAGAGTCCGCTCAATTCTGAGTCCACCATTGTAATTAAGTCAATGACATCCATACATTGAAAAAAAAAAAAAAAAACTAAAAATCAGTTCTGGTCCACATATCTTTTTACTCAGACGATTTTCGTTAAAATTTGATATTAAACTTCTCTTAAAAAAAAAAAAATTGAAAATCAGATTTGGTCGACATATTTTTTTACTCAGATGATTTTCGTCAAAATTTGATATTAAAATTTTCTTAAAAAAAAAATTCTACATTAAACTAATTTTTTTTTTCCACAGTGTAAGACTCTTAATAAACCTGTTAAATTTTCAAGCATTTTTGCTAAATCTAATGATTTTACTACAGTGTACATAATAAAATCATCTACTTAATTCCGCTCAGATCTCTCAGATTAGGATCTCATTATATATTTATTTAATGATACGTTAGATTGGTATACATTAATAATCCTGGTATAGAATGATAATTTTATTTTTCATAAGTAATAGAAAATGGGATAACTCTTAAGGTTTTATTAATATTAGAATTTATTTTACAGATATATTGTATATATTAATGCACAGTGATTTAGGATCTAGATATTTTAATTAAATTAGATTATTTCGATAAAATTGACACAAATATATTCACAAAATACATAACTTCGCAAGAGTTTTTTTCGTTGATATACGAAAAATACTCAAATGCGTTGAAGNGGATGGTAATTTTATTTTTCATAAGTAATAGAAAATGGGACAATTCTTAAGGTTTTATTAATATTAGAATTTATAATACAGATATATTGTATATATTAATGCACAGTGATTTAAGATCTGGATATTTTAATTATTTTAGATTATTTAGATAAAATTTACACAAATTTATTCACAAAATACAAAACTTGTTAAGAGTTTTTTCGTAGATATACGAAAAATACTCAAAACGCGTTGAAGAACGTTTATATTTAAAGAAGTTTACTACCATAGCATATTATATTGAAATTTATATCGTTGAAAAGATTTGTTTAATTTGTTGTATATAAACACCTATTCCGATAAAATAATCTAGTTTAACTAGAACTCGACTTTATTCTATATTATAAAAATACTCAGACTGATATAATACCTACTCGCCATTCGGGTATACGTTTCAGATTAAAATTACCCAGTCATTATGATATGGTTGAACGCGAAATTATATTTTAGGACGGTTGAGACTGTGGAGTTGCATCTAGTGCGTAGTGTGTGTTGCTCAAACCATATTGAGAAATCTTTCAGCTGGATGAACTTTAATTGAAATGAGTGTTTATTTAATTATTTTCCAGTGTGCGCTTACGTTTGATAAATACTTACATTATCATAAATAGAGAAATATCTAAAATATTTTGCTGATCTCCAAAGCTGTCTGAGGTACAGCCATCAAAAAGGTAACACATATTTTTCAATTTTGAAAAATTAAATTAAAAGGTACAGTTTCAAAGTGAAGACAATTTATTAATATTTTATGCGATAACAATTACATGTAAATATAATCTTATCAAAACCCATATATAATAATAATAATATATAAATAAACATATTTTAAAATGGAAAACATTACACTACTCTTATCTTCTTAAATAATATACTATTTTAAACTTACGTGATTGAGAGCAGATTGGACAATATTATTCAATAAAATAGGTTATTATCACATTAATTAAAGTTACCGTACGGAAAAAATTATGCAGAATTTGATTTTAATGAGCCTCGTGCTAGTTATAGCCAACAAAACAAATAGTTTACTATAGAGACTGAAGGCCATTAAATAGCAATAGACTTTTTAAAACGTAAACCAATAAATAAGAGACAATACAAAAAAGTATATAAATATAAAAATAAATAGACACTTTTAGTCTTTTAGTCTTTTAGTTATCATCACTATTGTAGACATTCATGTGGAAAAAACGAAATTTCGGTAGTAGACCACTTGATTTAGCAGACCAGTTGTCCGCAAAATAATATATCATACTATGTACATTAAATTGAACTAATTATCTGTGAACTATTAAACGGACTTTTGTAAATTTTTAAATAAAAATATTTCTTAGTTTTAATTTTGTTTATTTCGATCCCTCCAAAGTATTGATTTAGGAAGAATTTAAATCATGACACGGTAATTCGTCAATGTTTGAATCATAATGTGAATTAGAAGGGTTTATTACTTTAGTCGATTTACGTACGATATCAACAAATTTGCCTACAAAATCAATTGCTGCAAAACAATTTCTTTTCAAATAAGAGTTAAAATAGTCAATCATATTCTTCAAAACAACTTTAGTTTTGATTGCACTATATTGTTCTTCGTATGTAGTACTTGGTATGTTGTTACGAATTTCGGAAAAGTTACTATCGTCTTTTAATTTTTTAATAGCAGTAATTATTTTTAATATATTGACCTTAGGTTCACATTTAACTGGTAGACTTAAAAAGAATTTATATCGGCTTTTTTCATACCACATAAGAGAGTTCCTCAAACTTGATATTTTTATTTCGTTTTTTTTGTTATGAACTCGATTCTCAAAGTAAACAACAATCGATATTGCATGTCGGTAAACGTACATATTCATTATTTCGTCCAGATAATTACATAAAATGATATTTTGGNTTTTTAAATTTATTAATAGCTGTTATTATTTTTAATACACTGTCCTTAGTTTCACATTTAAGAGTTAGACTTAAAAAGAATTTATATCGGCTTTTTTCATACCACATAAGAGAGTTCCTCAAACTTGATATTTTTATTTCGTTTTTTTTGTTATGAACTCGATTCTCAAAGTAAACAACAATCGATATTGCATGTCGGTAAACGTACATATTCATTATTTCGTCCAGATAATTACATAAAATTATATTTTGAAAAAATAAAATTTTGGTGATACTTGCATTCAAAGGTAAAAAATAATAGTAAATCTCCGAAAATGTAAATGGTACATTTTCTATGTCCATCTTATTGTATTTTATCCCGTTAATGTCGATATTATCTTCGTATACTTCGGTGAGTAAATATTTTAAACTTAACCAATCATACGTGGTCCATATTATGACTTCGTTTCCTTTTTTAGTGTAGAACTCAGTTATGGATGTAGAAATATCCTTAATATATTTGTAATTTAACTCTGAACAATCATTATTAATAGTTGAATTTGTCGTGAATTGATCTACTTCCAAAATTTTATCATTACGAACATAAAAATTCCACAGTAATTTAACTCTTATCGCTTCCCTAATACATTTCTCCTGATATAATAATACGCTATTAAATACACTTTCGTGTTTAGCGGGACACCGGAGATCGATAAAATCCATGTGATTTCCGCAAAGTGATAAAAACAGATTAAACAAAGTTAATTCAATCGGGTCATTGGTTTGATGGTCATGTATATAAAGAAGTATTTCCGGTACATCACCACATAATTTTTTGAATGGACTTAACACATTTTGATTGATTTGGTCCTCGTTTAATTGGTACATGGTATTATTGGAGCTTTGAAGCATAAATGTAAAATACTCTTCAAGCCTTTGGAGCGAATAGAGTATTAAATTTTTTACCTCGTCATATGTTGATCTAAACTTAGTTAACAACAGTGGTGCACATTTATTTGTTTTAATGTCTTTTGAATACTTTTGACTATGTTTTTTAAATGATTTTTCTAAATTTATTGTATCGCATAGTGTTTGATGATTAAGTCGTTCTACATTCTGTGTTGGCGTTTGTTTAAAAATATTGTATTGGGCACTATCGTTAAAAAATGTTTCCGTCCAATCAATATCACTCATGAGTTCGAATTCTAATTTTACAAATTTTGTAGCATTACTTTGGTATACTGTGTTTTCTTGGTACTTAAGGGATTCTTCTTCAGTAATTTGTTCAAAATATATTATTTCTCTTAACACAATATGTAACTTTTTGACATTGCAACTAATAGTCATTTCGTCATCGGTGACCTTTGATTGTTTACAATGTTCTGTGAAAAATTGTTGTATTGTTCTACAAAGCAAGCTATGCGATTTGTACAAATTGAACAGTTTTTTATTTCTGTATAATCCGCTAACGTACAAATAATCTATACATCGTACAATATGTAAACATATATTTACCACATAGTCTTTTCGTATTCGTAAATCATATTCATTGCTTGGATTGGTTTCTAATCGTTTACATAAATCATTTACTTTTGTCTCAGTAGGAAATACCGATAAATAATATTTACTGAATTGGTCAAGTATAAGACTTAAACTGTCTTCGAACGCTGTTATCGTAGAGTAGTCGCGAACTTCATAAGAATGTTTACTTATGAAATTTATGTTGTAAAATTTTTCTACATATTTTTCGTGTTCAATTAGTTTAGATATTTTAAATGCCATTTCTGGATTTTCATTTAATACTAGAAGTAACTGTACTGATAATATAAGTGTACGAAATATCATCATAAATTTTTCAACAACCAAAAACCAAATTGAGACTAAATATTATACTGAGAAGAATTTGTGCACAATAGTTAACTACAATCATCGAGTAGGCGTTGCAATTAATTATCGGGGCTCACATATGGTAAGCTTGTTTAAATAATGTACAATTTATTTAAAAAAAATATCCTATGTAGTATAATCTGTGACCTATTTACATAATGTTTTAAAATTAATGTAATCAAAAATTTATCAGATCGATGTAAAGTCAAAAATATTATAAAAACGTAATATTCCAAGTATTTTGGGTTTCGATTTCTAACTTTTGTGGACATGATTTGTAAGACTTCCAAAAATACTAAACATTTTTAAATGAAGGTTACGGGATATATTTCCATATATTTTTAAGAAGCCCAGGGAAATAATTTTAAATTAAAAGGTATCAAAAAAATGATTTACTTAATTTCGCTCAGATTTCTTAGATTAGGATTTTATTATACATAGGTTTACTGATACGTTAGATAGGTATATATTTATAATCTTGGTATGGAATGATAATTTTATTTCCCATAATTAATAGAAAATGGGACAATTCTTAAAGTATTCCTAATATTAAAATTTATTATACAAAGATATTGTATATATTAGTGGTTTATGACCTAGGTATTTTATTTTAATCAATAAGAATCTTTAGGTAAAATTGACATAAATTTATTCACTAAAGACATAACTTCTAAATAGGTTTTCAATTTTAGATACGGAGCGTAGGAAGGGATCTATTTATTTCACTGTGATAAGTGTTTTTATATTACGCACCGTGCACTAATTTTATTATTGTCAACAAATTCATTTAACGAATTTTTAGATATACTCGATTAGTTTGAAAATTTAATTTAGGTCAAATAAACGGTCATAGAAGTTTAAAAACTGTACAGTTTTTTCCGGAAATTTGAAATAAATATGAACTTGTATTGATTAAGACCGTAAGAAAAGCCATAATAGATCGAATTAAGTGAATATATTATTTAATGAAAAAAAAACCTAAAATTTTTGATTTTAATAAATTCTTCACGAAAAATCCACCCGGAGGTTTTTTTCGCGACATGAAATGTTGAAAAATATCTGATCCGCGGACATACGTTTTTTTAAATTACCAATAGGTACGATATAAATGACATTGTAAACCAATTATTAGAGGAATATCTTATAATGCGTTAAAATAATAGTTACTTTATTGTCTAAGACATATTGGAATAAAATTTTGATATTTTTAAAGTAAAATCATCACAAAAATCTATACATCTTTTGTTTATATATTTCTGTAAAGACGGTAATTAAAATCTTTTATATTATTTTACTGTTAAATCTAGGTCGTTAACTAAGTATTAATCTATGAGTTAGGTGTTATATTTTACTAAAATAATTTCATNTTTTTTCCTTGTTCAGGTTAAGGAGGAATAAAATGCAAACAATTTTGTACTAAATACAGGTTTGAACTCGGGATCCCTCCTAGAACAATAATAAGCATGTATAACCATTTGGTCACGAGAAAATAAATTTAAGTTCAAATACTAAATGAATAAACATCGGTTTTACACATTTCTTAAACAATATCACATTTCAGTATTTTACCTATAAATATAAATAAAATATACATACACAATTAATGGTTTTATAATTAAGTCAGTACCTGTACAATATGATTAATATGAGTAATTATATAATAATAATTGGCTACTTAGTGACTAAGTGACTAATGCACTACAACAATATTACACTGTTATTTTATAGAGTATCAATGTATTACAAATTATCAACAATCGGCAAATGAATCAATTATTCTGATCAGCCCACCGGGTTTTCATCAGTACATTGACGGCTTAGTCCGTCCTTGGAACTATCATACGGGTTCTTATACATTCTATTAAAAATATATCTTAGTTCGTGCTTTTAAAATGTCTTCTCCGCGATGATGATTGTTTAATGTCGACGTGTTTGAAAATATCGGTTAAATCATTACAGATAGTTTCATAGTTGACAGTTGGAGTAGAATATGAACTATTTTGTTTTATCACTTTAGCTGAATTATATACAATAAAAAAAAATTTGAGTAAAAAATCTTTAGCTGCCAAACAATTTTTTTTCAAAGTTTCACTAAAACTTTCAGCCCATATTGAAGAAAATAGTTCTATTTTGAGTGCATTATATATTTTAGCGTATGTAGGACTTGGTATGTTGTTAAGAATATTAGAAGGACCATCGTCTTGGTTGAAATTTTTAATAGCGGTGATTATATTTAATAAATTTTCTCGAGTTTTACATTCGACTGGTAAATTTAAAAATAGTTTATATCGAGATTTTTCGTACCATGCAAGAGAGTTTCTCAACTTTGGTATGTTTCTGTTTTTATCCCTTCCGTAGACCGTTC